AGGGTAGAAGACGGGATACCTATCATTTTGCTTGGCCTGCCATATATAAAAATAATCATGTTTTCTTAATTCCTATTATTTGAATCCCACGTCCTGTAATTTAGTAATCTTACAAAGTCCTATGCTTTATTAGGAACAGGAATCTGCACAGGAGGAACTCATGGGAAGATATAGTCCAACTGTCCACTCTTACCTGGGAAGAACTTCACTTACTTTCTTAAATTCAATGACCAAATTGGGGATTTCTTCTACTTTCCATCTCTCGGTTTCTACAAGGTTTGTATGGTAGCATCCGAATTTAGAAACTCAAGTATTTTTATTTATTTATTTATTTATATATCTCTGTACTTGCTATATCTTCTTATAGGACTGAGCTCAACTTTGGACGAATTTGCTTCCACCAGTATTGCTACATTTTATACAAGCTTTGTTGCTAACTATGATCATATGCTTTATTTGGTTAGTCGTGCCTTGGTGAATCACACCATCCTGGTGTGGATTTCCATTTGCCTCGCCTGATAGGTCACTCATTCTCTTGCTTTCTTATGCTTTTTTTTATATTGTGGTCGTATAAATGACAATTTTGTTCTCTCTTGCTTTTTCAATTGTAGGAAGATCGGTGTACCTTTGAATCAATCAGAATTCTCTCTACTCATCACCAGAGGCAACAATAACAGAGGAAGGAGGTTGGATTTTAGTTGTGTTTCCAGCAAGAACGGAAGCATGGTTGATTGCCAGATGTTGTTGTCGAGGTGTGAATCCTCCTCTTGCATGACCAGTGCTCTTTTATTAGTTAGCTTCTTTGTGGTCTCTCTACTCAGGGATAGTTTATGCTACACCTGAAATTTTATTTGCAGGTCTCAAAGGAAATCATCAAAGATGGTATTAGAGCACAAGTCAGTGTGCACATATGCACATCATATGTGAATTTTGGTGGGAAATAACACCTGAAATATGCAAGCTACCGAGGCAAGTCTTGGCCAACATAGTTGGGATTTTGTGAGGCTGTTTAGTTCGTTGCTTTTGACGTTTAATTGCCACAGTATGTTCACCCTAAAGTACTCATTTTATAGTTCGAGGATAGAATTCTGTGAGGGTATTTGATCATTTCCTCTTTTAACTTTTCTTCACTTAATTGAAAGATGAGTTTCTATGTGGTTTAGCGTTCTCATACTCAAATGTTCTGTTTTTCCCTTTCACTGATCTCGCAAGAATTGAGCTAGAGGCATTCTAGGTTACCGTGTATGCTTTGCTAAGTTGAGTTGTATGTCTCAGCTCTTTAGAATCACGGGAAAGCCCTCAATTTCATTTCCTTTGAATGACTTCTATGCTTCTGGGTTTTGTAGATCGTTGATGGATGGATGTTTGTACCAAAGAAGCAAACTTCTGTCGAGGTTCTGCCTGATGTCTATTTGAGGTCTTAAGCTGCTTCAAGGGGAAAAGAAAGGAGCTCAAGTGCATGTGTTTCATAGTGCTGGCCTAGCCTTCTCAACAGCAACCGCAGGGAATAACTTACCCATGTGAAAGTCACCGAAGCTGTGATTTCTGAATCTGTTGAAAAAACATAAAGTGATGTTACAATTGTTAGTGAAGGGGGGTTTGGATAATGGGCAATGGCCGGTCAGGAAAGGAAGTCAGCTGTTAGATCAGGAGCTGCGACAGGGAGGGATGTGCAGTATCCTTTCAGTGGAAGAAGGTTGGTTTGTCGTGGACACCACTCACGAATGATTTTGCTTATGGAACATTTAGTTGTTTTCTGTCATTTTAATTCCTTTAACTTCTCATTTTTGTGTCTTTTGGCATGGAATAACATGACTAATTGACTACATAAAATGTTGTTGTACACAGCTTATGACTGTAAGGTATTTTGCTTTATGGCCAAGCTTAACAGATTTGTGGCAGATTATTGAGCATTGTCTTGGTAATATTTACAGTACGATGTTTTCTCTTCATTGCAAGTCACCAACACACCATTGTCAGGCATGTCAATCCAGAATTGCCTTAACAGTGGTGACCACCTCCTCATTACTGACCATAACATGATGTTGTTGCAAAGATGATATTGTTGCAACTTAGGTCCCGCGGCGTAACCATGGGTGTTGATTCTAGTTTATGTATGAATGTTAGGACGACCTTTAACTATACAACATTTTTTAGTGGCTTGCCGGTCCTTTTCTCACCAAAACTCTTCCACTCCCATCTTTCTGATTCTTTCCTTTCTCCGTCATGGCAACAGGTTTTGAACTACAACTCTCCCCAGTCTATTTATTCAAAGACGAATTTAAAGTAGTCTAAGTGGATGATGCAGACATTGTTATTGCAGTTCAAAGTGTGATAAAAGATCTCGAGGTTGTTGGGCACCTACAAGGATCCAAAATCTTTGAAATCGGAATTTTCAAGACGGCTCCTCCAACGCGGCCAGGAAAACTGACTTAGAAGTGGCCATAGTGGAGAATGGTCTCTTTGCTCTCCAGTTCTTGGATGAGGAACAAGGTTCTTCAAGGAGGACCATGGCATTTTCAGAATCGACTACTGATCCTTCTGTTTCCACCCCCTTCATTCCGAAGCTAAACCGTAAGATTATCTCCCCAACACGGTCATAGTACAACCAATAGCCTAGCATAGTGCTCGTTGTTTGGAACAAGTAAAAGCCTACAGGTATAGAGTGGCCCGACAAGGCTAAATGATCGGAAAAGTATGGATAGAATGACGATCACATTTGTACACTTATGGCAATTGGCCAAAAAGAAAATGAAGAAAAAGATATTAGTGAGAAGGAGAAGACGACGGTTGTCTCCAAATTGCAAGAGAGCAGGGCATTTTTTTCACTCAATGAAACTGCACAAGTAGTGCAAGAAGCCACACAAAAAAAGAATCAAGAAAAGCTACAAGCTAAAAGGAAAGGAACAAAGGAGCAAGGAGAAATAAGCAGGGACAACACCTGCACTAAATTGGAATTCTAAGTGCACGTACCTTAGCTATCCAAACAATAGATCCCCAATCATAAAAAGGTTACATTGGTTTTTAACTGCTCTGACCACCTCCAATCAACACATTTATTATATATCGCACAAGATTACATTGCGAAAATCTCTTAAATAGCCACGAATGTTTTCTCCTGCCCCGATCAGTAGAATGAAACCAGTGCCGGCTGCCAACTGAAAAATACACAAGGCGAAGCACACCCATTTTCCCTACCATCCACTTATTCCACATTCTACCACTCAATGTTAAGATTACAACAGCTTGGCCTTCTTCTGCATTCAGATTAATCATAACATATATGAGATGGGAGATAAGATGAGAAACGAGATCACAAAAAGATATTCAGAGCAGACCAATATAGCGTCTTAGCATGAAGGGACAAATTTCTCAAACAATTGCAAACAGAACAAGACATGCAAGTGCTACTTTGCATGCGAAGCGTACAAATGGCGAAGTAGATAGATATTCAGTTTAAGAGAACGCAGGGTATGATGCAAAGACAAAAGGATTCTCAGCAATCTCGCACAGAATTAGACATGTTATGTATGTACTACTTAGCATGTTAAATGAGAGAGTAGTAAGGACGCTCAAGATGTCTTCCCTTATCCAGTTAGGGGAATATATGGAAATGCTTCTTTCGGCTTCCACCAGTGCATTCTCAAACCCTATCAAAGACTCGGAACACAGAAGAAAGAGGGGAGAAACACAAAAAAGAAAAAGAAATAAATCCTCAGAAGCAGAAGTAGTACCAATTGCAGCACCCCTCATGATCTTTGAATAGCTAACTCAACTCTAATCCGTCAGCGGGTTGGCGCCACATTCTTCTTCTATTGCTTCAGTATCCATCAGACCAACACAAGACAAATGAGATGGGAGATCATATTAGAAGCCAAACCACAAAAAAGACAGAGAATACAAATGCAACACATCTGTTCATCTTAGATTTGAGAAAGCAAGGGTAAATTCGCAGAAGCAGAAGTGATACCAATTATAGGAGTTGCTTCCACAGTCTGAACCAAACAATTGTAGCTTCCATCATACACAGCTCGCAATTCCTTATACCTTGGAATCGAAATAGGGCAGCTAGAGAGGCCAGGCTGAAAACTTACGAAAGGAACCAGACATTGTCCCAGAGGACCCAAGAACTCTAGCTCACCCGTCCGCAAGTTGCAAGACAAGATTGCATAACCATGACGATGACCAAAAGATTGCAAGAAGATGATTTCCGGCTTTTCTGGATGCAGATTACGTACTTGAATATACTCGAGGTCGTAATCACTCCATGATGTCTCACTCAACCACATTTCATATAGTTTCCTCCAAGACTTACCATCTTCTTCCAGCCTCCAAACAGTGAAGGCATTCCTTGAATAAATAATAGGTGCCCTTTTAGCTTCAGCTACAATTATGTGCAAAGCATCTTGTGAGACAGAAGCAATCCACTCTCGGAGTTTGGACTCGGGCTGTGGGATTGAAGAAGTATCAATAACGGTGGGAGGCATTTCAAGGCAGAAAGGATTGAAAGCCACCATTGGATAGCCAGGAACCCCGGTATAATGAAACCACCAAAATAACTCCCCATTGCACGAAAGTGAATTGGGCCGAATCTTTCTTAGTCGACCAGCAAGAACAAGAGCATCCTTGGTCCATTCTCCAGACTCTGAACAATACACGTCCAGTTTTAAAGTTGCAACCGGCTCGAAAGTTGCATATACACACACCACCCGAAACCGATACTCAGAATGAACACATACTTGGCCATCTCCTAGCTGAAGATTATAGTTATGACGGGGTTGACAGACTAACCTCGCGTGCACATATTTTATATAGGCACGGCCATGAGCACCCTCCTTTTCAGGCGCTGAAGGAAGGGCGATCCATTGCTTGGTAATCGGATTGCAGACCAAATACGACCTACCAAGTTCGTTGTCGACATAAATTCGATCCACAAACCCGCACAAAAGCAAGTCCTTGAAGGAATCAAGGACTGCAAAACGGCCTCGACCTTGCTCCGGCACAGGGAGAAAGCTGAGGATGGTCGATGTTTCCGGGTGGTCGTCGGAGCGAAGAAGTAGAGGCGGGCCATCTTTGATTGTCTGATAGTGAGAGATGAAGCGGCTATTGAAGTATGGAGAGAAGATTAGGGAGTTCCACCGCTTGCAGACGGCTTTGCAGCGGCAGGCGGTTCTAGGAGTCGGGAGTCGAATCAGAATTTCTACGAGCAGATCGTCGACCCTGAGTTTGGTGAAGGGAGACGGCGGAGGGTTTACCAACTCTGATGGAAGAGTTGAGCTTTTTCGAAGGGTCGCCATGGCGGTGGACCAACAAAGGGATGGATGGAAAACGCCGACGGGAGGAGACAGCGATACTTTATATGTGCGGCTGACTGACTGCCTTTTGGGTTTTCCTTCTCCCGAACTGAAATGGTGGGTTTCTGTGTTTGGTTTTATTTCTTCTGATCTAATTCCAGGGTTAAACTTTGGAAATCCAGCGGCTTTTAGGATGGCGGCACTACAGATTCCGCGCTTGGTAATGTTAGTTGATGACTTCTGCGATTGCATCCTTTAGTTTATAGTTTTTACGTCCATGGTCCCTCAACTATTTTACATTTGCCAGTTGAAGAACGCCCCTACGGTCGATCCTTTCATTCACTTCTCTCCCTCTCCAGCGTTGAAACAGTAAAGAGACCGGCGGTTGCAGCGATCGACGAACACGAACTTCGCTGATCTATCCGCGGTATTACAGGTAATCATGGCATGTTTGGAGCGTTGAATTCGTGTGGTTTCAGGGCTGGGTTTTACTTTCTCAATCGAGCTATGTTGCCTAGGGTTTACATTCTATCTAGACCTTGTTGAATTTATGGTGATCATGGTTGTTTGTGGATGAATTCGTGGTCTGGGCAATGACTGATCACTGTACCAAGCTTGTGTAGCTCAATCTCCAAGTGGATTTTGCTTATGACTAATCAACTAGTATACAATCAGCTCATTCCTAGTTTTTGCTTCACACAGCAAGAGTTGAAATTGAAGCAAGTCGGTTCCTTTTGCATCGCCGATTGATTCTGCCGCTCTTTTGTTCCAAGTCAGAAGAGATCTCATCATCTCCACACCGCAAGTTCAGTCTCGTCATTTCAGGTTGCCTGTGCTGCCAATGGCCAATCAAATGTCTTCCCAATTGAAACTTCAAGATATGTCGCCAAGTTCAAGCATGGCAGTTCCTGTAGGCTCAGCCACCGACCACTTCCGGCAACCAGCTGCCACCGTCTTGGGCGACCCTGCTGACACCTCCACTTCGACGTCTTCTTCGACGAGTCTGACTCAGACTTTCCACTTCTCATCTGGAAACCCCAGAATTGAAGAGACACGAGGGATCATGCATCTTTTCTGTGAAGACTCTCCTTCCCATCTTCCTGTATGCTTACTTGCTTACGCTTTTCGGATACATTTTTTTCTGTCTCCAGTGTTTCTTTTCCTTGGGTTTCATTTGGTTCTGATAGTGAAAATATATGCTTTGATCACTGAATCTGATCTCGATCTATTTCTTTTGATTAGGTTGGAAGGAAACCTCTTGTTTCGGTGCTTGGGGTGCCGAACCACATGACATATGCAGACTTTTGCAAGTTTTGTGGTTCTTTTACCCAACACATATTAGAGATGCGGATTGTCAGGTAACATCAACACATTGATTTCTCTGATCTTGTTGTTGCACAATTTCTTAAATGTTTCGCGGCAATGGATTAGGCATAACAAGAACTACTAATTCATGGCCAGATGTGTTTTTGGTTGCATGTATTTTCACTTTCTTTTGTTCCCCCCCCCCCCCGGGGGGTAATTAGTACTATTATTAAGCTCTCTTGATCAATAGATCAAATGTCGTAAAAAACCTGGACATCGTCCACAAAGCTATGACAGGTCTAAGACCTACAGTAGCCTACTAAAGGATTGCAAGCTCCGCACCTCTCCTCGAAACACATTATTACCAAGAGAATATAACAAAAGATCCTGTCTAGATCGATCAAAAAGAACTGGCCAATCACTTCGACTGCTACCAAATACGCGTTGACATCGCTCCTTCCAGAGTAGACTCACTATCCAGCACCAGATTGCAGCAAACACACGACCATACGCTCCTCCTTTCTTTTGGTTTTGGTGCTGACATTGCTTCCTGCATTATAGGAATGACGAGATGGAGGATAGATATAGTATTCTGATGAGATTTCAAAATCAAGATTCGGCAGATAAATTCTACCTGCACTTCAATGGCAGAGAATTCAACTCTTTGGAGGTACATTTTATTATTACCTTAATTTGTTGACAGAGAAGTTATGCACAGAGACTGCACAGTATTTAACAATTACTTTTTGTTTCTATAGGAAGAAGTTTGTCGTGTACATTTTACCATTGATGTCCAGTTCACTGGTTATAGTGGTTCACATGAACATGGTCAGCCTTCACCAACAAGCACAACTGAACATTCTTCTTGCCCAGTTTGTCTCGGTAAGTTGTGCTCGTCTGAACTGTTTTCAGTTCATTATTTCACAACTCACTTATCTCCTTCCCGTGGCACCTACTTGTGAATGTAAGGAGAAAAATGGAAAGCTCTTTCTAATAATCTTGCCATACGGAAAAATCTGAATGAAAAGGGACATACTAGATTTAAGAGTTGTAACCTTTGTGGGGTATTGGGATCTGCATACTGAAGGAAAAACTGACCAGTTTGTGAACATAATTAAACGTGAATGCACTGTATTTTCATTCTCCTGCTTAGAGCTAGTGATCCATTCTCACCCTTTGTGCTGGTATGCTTCAAACTGGCCTCAATTTCTTCCCACGGACTTCATTGAACTCTCTCTTTGGTGAGTCTTGCATCTCAATGCCCCACTTCTCTTAAAATTGCTTTCTGACCCTAAAGTTACCAGACTTTCGTGGCTAATAGGACTTGCTTAGCTGTTTGTATTTGTTGCAACATGCAAGTCAGCACATAGTTTTAATGAAACAGAATGTTTCTAGAGCATATTTGTAGGTCATCACTCCCAATTTATTTGCCCTGATTTTGACACTCGCGTTATCGTGATAAAGTCATATTGATATTGATGTGAGATTATAGCGGAGATTCCCACACATGCTATATTGATGTGGTAATTTGAACTTCAAAGCTGCTTAGACCTTTGCAGAGAGACCTATTATGTTTTCTTAGAGATGGTCCTCTGAAATTTTGTCAAATCCGTGCTCTTATACTCCCTCTATGTTACAGAGAGACTCGACCACGACATGGGGGGAATTCTTACAACCATATGCAATCATTCATTTCATTGCTCCTGCATCTCAAAATGGACAGACTCTTCTTGTCCAGTAAGTGGTTACAATTTCACTGCACTAGCTTCGCACATGATCAACTAGCCGGTAGTCAACGGTTATGTTTATTGAATTATTGATTGATACTCAGACATAGCTTTTGTTTATGACTAATGCAAATAATGCCCTTGAGAATCATACAACTTGTTCATGGACTGATAGTGATAGTTGAATCCAATCTGATAATCAACAGAGAAGCCTTTCCTACCAGTTAACATTGATGGCATAAGCTAAGAACTGGACCTAAGAGCTGCCCTGATGCTAACTTTAGTGTTATCTTAACTTCCCGAACTCTAATTTGTTGTGAAGTTCACAGACCTTTCAAGTTTATGACGATCTCATTGATGTTACTTATGACTCTTTCTTTACAGGTTTGCCGATATTGCCAGCAAATGCCTGAAAAATCTGTATGTTTTATATGCCAAACTTCAGAGAACCTATGGATCTGTTTGATCTGTGGTTTTGTTGGTTGTGGAAGGTATATAACTCCCCCCACCCCTCTCGACTACTGAACAACAGCTATCTCCCTCCTTTCATCTCCTTCTGTGCATATCCACATTTCATCATTCTTAAATGTGTAGGTATAAGGAAGGACATGCTGTGAGACACTGGAAGGAAACACAACATTGCTATTCTCTTGAATTGGAAACACAACGAGTTTGGGATTATGCCGGTGACAACTATGTTCACCGACTGATTCAATCAAAAACAGATGGAAAATTGGTCGAGCATACCCATTGCATGCATGCTGGTGATGGTTGTGGGAGTTGTGGCTGTGTGGACTCTGGAATCAGCGAGACACTGTTAAGCAGCAAAGTTGAAGCAGTAATCTCTTTTTCCATTAATTAACACTATAATTAACTAAAATCATGTATTTATGTCAGTTCTTATTTGAAACGTCCTCATCCGTCTGCTAATTTTGTGTTCCCAGATTGTTAATGAGTACAACGAACTCCTGGCTACACAACTTGAAAACCAGAAGCAGGTAGAACTGATTATCCTTTTTCTTTAGTTAAGGTTATTGTTGACCTTCTAGCAAGTCCCTTTCGAGTCACTATACTTGTATGAATGTGCAGTATTTTGAAGCTTTACTACAAGAGGTTAAAGACGAAACTGCTCGAAAAACGTCTGAAGCTGTTAAGAAGGTTGTCAGTCAAAAAATACCAAAGCTGCAGGCCAAGTTAGAAAGATGTACCAAAGAAAAGAAATTTCTGGATGATGTAAGTCCCTTTCTTCTTGGGGTTGGCTTTAAATGAGGTTGGATTTCCGGATTGGGTAGCTTTTTCTTCTTACGAAATAAAATGTTGAGCTAATACAAGAGGGTTTTTTCAATAAAAAGAAGATAATTTGTCTCTCGCTTCTCCTTGTAGCTGAATGAAAATCTGGTGAAGAACCCGCAAGTCTGGAAAGTGAAGATACTACAGATGGAGGAGAGGTATGTTATAAACCTTTTTGACAACACTGTTCCGCTACATGGTTTGTTACAAAAAAAAAAAAAACTTGACTAATTACCTGTTATCTACTGTTATGATTACCAATCTTGGAAATGTCTCCTCTTTTGGGGAGAAACTTCTTCCAATTTTTTTCTGTAATAATAGTAATATGCATGCTGAATCTGCGTGTAAACCTACTGATCTGACCTGTTAGCTACTATACTGCGATGTTGGAAATGTCTGCTCCTCTTCTGGGGAGCAACAAGTTCTTTTAACTTTTTTCGCTGCATGCAATATGCAAGCTGAATCTGCATCTAAACCTACTGATATCTCTCGCCGCATACATACGCATCTCCTGTTTTCTATATCTGCAGCGAGAAAAAGGCTCTGAAGTTGAAGGATGACAAGATCCAGATGTTGGAACAACAGGTTAGGCTGCGTTTTTTAGTCTTTTCTGTCTCTTTAATTATACAGTGAAATTGAGGAAGCAAGCCTGCATAGGTTGAATTTACAGATGAGCTTTGTGGTTTTTGCAGCTTCAAGATTTAATGGCTCGGTTAGAAGTTGGAAAGATGCCCGCTGAGCAGGATGAGTCAAGCAGCATAAATTGATCTCACTGAGACGCCAATTCATGAAAAACTATCAACCTCCTCAGCAAACGACACAGAAGGTGGTGGGAAAAAGGTGGCTACCGGCGGATAAAAAAAATGCATTGCCCATGTTATAACTCTCTGTTTGTCACTGCAAACTGCTCCTGTATAGTAATGTACATTAACACATTAATGGTTACGTTAAATCGATGCAATCACGGCGAATGACTTGTCCATAGCTTTCAATCCCCCACACAGTGGTGAGGTTTTCAAAGCTTCTAACCCTACATTAATCCTAATCTGAATTGCTATAGGCCGCCCTAAAATTATCAACGGTCGCTCAAATTTTAATACGTAAACGGCAGCTCACTTGCGGTTGGTCCACGGTGCAACTGCAGCTTACTTGCAATATTTGTCGCAGTCTTATGATGGTAATGATCACAATCCCCTGATCATCCTTCGCTCATTCAAAGGGGCTAGAGATGGCAGGGACAACCGAAAGAATGTATTCAAGCAGGCAATTACAGGAAACGACGATGAAGACTATGGTTGGGAGGAAGTGATGAAATTGGATGGTTATGCTTTGTTCCTTGATTCTCACCAGTCCTTTGCCCTCCCTGCTGCTGTTGGCAGCAGCAATGGGGTCATGGAGAATATGATCTATTATGCAGTTGATTATCCGCTCTGTGGGTATGGCAATGCTTGTGGCATCTTCGATCTTGAAGATCGAATCGTTGAACGATTTCCCCTCTACATTGTCAATCACAGGAAAGTATGTTCGTTTTGGTTCCTTCCCATGCCCTGGTACGCCCTTCGTAGAACTAGCTTGTACTGTCACCGTCCATTCATTTGGTGATGCGTGTTCATCCAGTAGTTACCTTCTCTGAGTAAAGCAACCCAATTAGCGTTTTCTTTTGCACTGGGATATCTCCAGTAAGCACACAACAGGTGAAGTGAGGGAGGAGCAGCTGCCCAACAAGGTTAATAAGAATCATAACGAGGAAGAAGAGGAAGAAGAAGACGGTGATGATGATGCTGGTAGAGTACTTGATTCGTCTAAGAGACGCAGAAGTAAGAAGAAGCAGGAGAGGCGAATAATACTTGTGGGTTGTCACCCACCAAGTCCTCTTTTCTAGTGATTAAATATAACACGATTTAGTAATTTCAGTGATAAAATGTGGCATTTAAACAGATAGTTTTATAGTGACGGGAGAAAATCTCAGCATGCTAAAGCTTGCAAATGTTTCAAATAAACTATCAAGTCCTCGCTATACAAGTACAGCAAACTTGAAACTACTATCACCAGAAACCTAACTACAACACCCCCTCTTCTCAATCTCCATTATGACTAGCCGATACATCAAACTCGAATTTTCACAGAGGCCAGAACACAAATGGATGTATCCGAAAATTACCCGCCTCCAGAAAGCTACTCCACTATTTCCAGTGGTAAAAGTTACAGCAACAGCGATCACAGTCGTAAAAAGTTTACTCATTTAGAAAAATCTGGCATAAAATAAGGTCATACGGGGATGCAGAAAGAAGAGCTGAGTGCTGGAGGCATTATGCAAACCAAGTGAGGCCCGGGAGGGTTGCAGCTTATGTCGGACTCATCGACATTAGGCAGTCCCAATTGTGGAGGTCGGACGTACCCAGCAACTAGAGGCACACACAGCACCGATATCACTATCCTTGAACCTGCAGCAACAAAATGATCATTAGTACCATCATCTAAACTATAGCCGCTAGAGGAAACTCTGTGAACCAAAAGAACCGGTTGAAGTATTTCCGATACCTTGCTTTTTCGACAGAGGTATATATCCTCTCTTCCTTCCAGCAATCATCCAATTCTCAGGATTCGCATTCACTTCATACAGCACCTCCCCCTGTTGAATAATAGATATGCCAACCAATTAAGACTGATCATGCGTACTCTCAAACATTAAGGAACCGAACATAGGCAAGTTTGAATAATGATCTTCATGAAAAGTAGGTTCTCAGGTCAACTGCACCAGTGGTGACTAAACTACACTTGTAATTCTAGGCCATGAAGAATTCTCGATTTCCTTGAGGATGCTTAAACTAAAATGGCTCAATTACAGAGATGTCACTAAAAGTTTATCTTTAAACAGCCCTCATTACAACTTTGGAATATAATTAGCACTTTTTAGTATAATAGCATGGTATACCATAAGGGAAAAGAACGTCTAATTATTATCTCAATATATAACAGATTCAGCTAAGTTTTTTACTATACTCAAGAAAATTAGAGAAATTATTACTTCACTCACACCGAAACATGTCACGCCAAACTGGGAACTGTCAAATCTTTCCATAACTTTACATGGCGATTAACTATAACTTATGGTGTCGAACCATTTGGTTGAAAGCATAATTTAATGACACAAATGATACTGATTTTAAGGATAGCTCCATGACTAGTACGCGATTAAATGTATAATTTAGGGATCCAAATGAAAGAAACCAAAAAGATAGTTGACGTGCAAGATGAAATCAATAAATAGTTAAGTTACTTGTGATAAACTGAAAGACCACAAATTGTGTAATTTAGCAGTAAGTTTTGGTTTAGGTAGAATAAAGTCAGCAGACACAAAACCGAACAAGATCTTTCGGGTAACCAAAGGTGGACACTGAAAAGCACAGAGGTCTGTTGATCTTTGACAGTAGATGGCATCAATGAATCTAAGCACAGACAGGTAAACTTTCCTTGGAACAATATTCATGAGAATGAAATGAGACCCAGCAACAGGCAATGCCACTTTATAAAGGACAAAACATTATTGCATATTCTAACCAATATCCCAAATCTAGTGTCATTAAGAAAAGAGACTTACATTGTGTTTCGAGATTTCCTTGTCCTCCATATCTTTCAAAATTTCAACTCTCCATTTCATGGGAACAAGTTGCCCAACTCTGAGGTCGACTGAAGGAAGTGGAAGAAAACCAACAGCCATGCATGGGTCGAGCACGGGCCTTTGCAGTACAAGGACACTCCTGAAAGTCAGGTCCTTCCTTGCAGAATCAGATCCAGAATATTCCATAGCCACTGGGGGATGTGCTCCACTGGTTCTGGCACCAGAAATTCCATATCTGATATTCAATATGCTTTCGGGCTTTTCTGCACCATTTTCATCTGTACACCAAAGAAATTAAAGGCTCGCATCACGAATTCACTAAGGCTTTTTGAAAAGGAACCCACTTTGAATAAAGTGCAACAGGACAACAAGTGAGATGAAAGAATGGAAGGGGAAAAGAGAACTTTGAGCCTTTAAAGCATACTTTGTTTATACAAGAAAGCTAATCAAACCAAACTTGCGCAAAATTTTAGGATATTCAAAGGTTGCCTAAATATCTAACTCAAACTAGCTCCAATGTCTTTAACTGAGGATGTTACTATTAAACTCATGATTTCTACAACAATAAAGGTTGTGACTTGTGAGGGTTTACACTTCTAAACCTTCCAAATAGCTCGAGCTGTGGTACAGTTCCACTATATTTCCAGACAACTTTCAGAAAAGCAGAGATATCTAACCTTTACCAATTGTCCTCCCTAAGGAGATGTTGAAGATTATTCCCCCTTTAGAGGTTGGAGAAACTGCAAGAGGAAAGGAGACCAAAGTTGGTCGACCATCAGCTCGTCCAGCATGAACAAAACCATCTTGAAGTTCAAGCCAAGCATCATATACTGTGAGAGTGGCCTGAACTTGGGATTGCAGGATCACCTGGAAGCAACAAAAACATCGGATATGAGAAATTCTTAAGAGGCATACATCAGAATCTTTTTATGCATAAACCAAATGATAACTGACAATGAGTCAACTTTAGAGAACGAAAAACAAGTTCACCTGCAAAAATGATCACACATTGATCTCAATTTTGGCAGGTAACTGAACAATCTAAGTTTAACATACCTGAAGAAGCAGAGTACCTTCATTGCATCTGTCAATAACGCGGCTGCTTACATGGAAAGGATCACTGAAATGCACAGCTATTGTTCTGCACAGGATGGTGAAATACAGAAGACCAAGAAATTAGTACAAGAGAACATAAAAATACAGGTGTAGGGGGGAAGGTATAAATCTAGCAGAATCTAGAGTTTGAATGAGCAATGCCTTTCAAATGTCTGGTTGTGTGATGCCCCAAATTCCAGATTCAAAGCAATTGTTCTCATGCCATCCACCATGTTCGGTCTCTGAGGAGAAACTGTCCACAAATACATAAAATGTTAGTAAGAAAAGCAATCACATTCAACCGGACAGTAACCTGAAAAGCTGTTGCAAGAAAAACCACCAAAGATTTGCATGTCCATATAACCTGATGATGATCCCCTCGGAAGACTGTCACTTTTAGCACAAATAGGAATCCAAATTACAGAATCCACATCACTTGCCCAATCTGGAAAGTTTATTTTTCCATCCTCGAGAGTTAATTGTTCCAATTGCTTATAAGCAGTGGGACTACCATTTTGACTGCCAGAGGAATTTGGTGTATCAGGTTCACTTTGTGACAAATTGGCACAGCTTTCCATCTCAATGACAAACGACTTCTCAATGCTTAGGCCTGGCCCAGTATCAATGTGCAATATAGCGCCTTTTAACAAATAATCGATTGGACGCACAACAATCCCAGCCCACTGAATCTCATTTATAAGCAAAGGTGAAGAGATCGCAGCAGCAAGATCAACCAGAGCTCTTGGTTTGAAAACCTATTAATGGGGGGAAATTCATTCAGCTGATTGGCAAAGGACAACCGAAGTTAATTACATGAAAGGTAGCAGTTGCACTGTTTGCATAAAGCCAACCATAATTTCAGCATGTCTCTTCCTTTGGTAGAACAACCAATGATATGATTTTCATATTCTTAAACGTGATCAAGTGAGACATCAAATGTGTTACCTTCAAAATAGGCCTCGTTGGCTTCTCATAGCTCATGAAATCATCACTGTCCGCTGGGCCACCTTTAGAAAAACTATGGGATCTGAACCTCAACTGACCAATTTGCCCAGTAAGAACACCTAGGACATAGGAGCCAGGTTTCGGTGGAAGTAAAGAGAGGGTAATGGTATTTCTTCCAGGCTTTAGCACAGCAGTAGTGCTCCTCACTGCCTGGAAAATTACATCTAATTCTGTGAGGTATGAAGATAGACCCAGAGTAAACTGCTCCATAATTGAATCAGAACAACTGTTCAAGTGAGGGATTAAAATACTACCTTGGCACCGACATCAGCATTAAATGTTGCCATCAAAGTGAGACTCACTGAATCAAGAGTCATATCATTAGGAAAGCCACTCCAAACTGTGACAGATAAAGTACCAGGA